CCGGGTGACGAGGGAAACATGCGAATAGTATGCGCGGAGCCGTGGCGTAAACAACAATAACACCATACTTAGGACATGGAGGAATTCCAAGGTAAGAACAATCAGAGGAGGACCAGGACGAGGAGGTCGAGGAGGAGGCCGAGGAGGGGGAGGTGGAGTAGGAGGAAACGGGAGGGGGAGGGGACGTAGAACGGTGAGGAACAATTGTGGGCATATGGCGAGTGCGAGGAATGCCGTTCTTCCTTTCCTCCTTCCTGCTGCCTCCTGCTGCCCCGTCCCTCTGAAGTATCTGCCTCTCCTCGTCGTCCTCGCCCTCCTGCGAGGGGGACGCGGGATGATCCGATCGAGCGGAAGAAGAGCTGGCAGCACGACGACGTCCGTGAAGGAGGCGCGGCGGGGGGCGCAGAGGGGGACACGGAGGCGGCGGAGGGGGACGACCGGTGCAGGCCCAAGGCGCGGCAGCGATGTTGCCCTGCCGCCTCCTGGACATCGGCCTGTGGACGTACACGCCGGTCGTTGAAAGTAGGTACTTCTGGATTCCCAGATCCCAATCTACTTCAAGCGCCTTTCTACTCCAAGAGTCGACGCGCTTTTGCTGTGTTTTGTCATTCCCTGGGGGGGGGCCGGGGCCCAATCCACGTGATCCGCCTTCCTACTTCATGTGTCTACCTACTTCGTCCGACCGGCGTGGTATCCCTCGCCCCCCCCATTCGGTCCCGGTGCAGGCCTCGGCGGGCCCCCTCGCCCGCGCGAGTCCTCGTCTCTCCCCCGAGGCCCAGGCCGTGGTCTCGAGCTGCGGGGGCGGGTGGCGCGCGCGAGCCCAGGGCGCATCGACGATGCTGCAAGGACGCCTCCCTGCAAGCTGCCCCTCCACTCGGGGGCGGCAAAGAGGGGGGTGATGACCAGGGGGGGGGGATATCATGGCGGGGGCCATGATATCTCCTCAGATTTTACGGCGCCTCCTCTTAGTTCATTACGTCCCTGGCCCCCCCCGCTGGGCCGCGCACACGCCGCCGGCCATGATTTGCACCCCCCCCCTCTTGGACACCCCCCTCTTGGCCGCTCCCGATCCACAGGCCCTCTGCAGGAGGCTGCTCGAGGGGCTTGCCCGCGCCCTGCCGCCGACCCCCCAAGGCGGAGGGGGGGGCCCATGGCAAGCGCGGGGGCGAGGTGGGTGCTGGAAGGCGACACGTTGTTCGTTTCGCATTCTTCGGAAGCTCTTTGATTTTTCTGGGGGGCCAAGGTCCTTTCGTTTCTAGTTGCTCTATCCGGGGCCTCTTCCTGGCCACTGGGGGGCCAGGAACCATTAGAAACGAGCAGAAGTAGAAATGAGCACGATTAGAAATGAACGACGTGTAGAAGGTCTTGCATGGCGAGCTGGGCTTCAGCCGCGGTGGGCTTGGCTATCCTTGCAAGGCCCCCCCCCAGGGCCTCCCCTCCTCCGACAGGGCATTGGACTTCAGGGGAGGGGGAAAGGGGGAGTGGGACAGCCTATCATCTCGTGCCCCTCGGAATTCTGCTGCAAGCGGCGGTCCGCAGATTCAGACAGGGCTCACTCTTCTTGCAGCAGAACAGATGAGAAGGAGATACAGATGATAATGTTGCTGATAATGATGCTGCTGCTGATGCTGATCAGGATGAGGATGAGGATGATGCTGCCGATGATGATGCCGCTAATAATAGTGGTACATGTTTGAACCATGTGGTGATGACGATGATGATGGTGGTGGTGGCACTTATGATGATGATGGTTATGATTATGATGATGATGTTGGCGCGGATGTTGATGACGAACATGTCAGCGATGATGCTCACGATGTCGAGGACGATGCCGATGCCAAATGCCGCTGATCGTGATGCTGATGGTGGTGATGATGAGTTAGGCGACAATGGTGATGATGATGATCATGATGATGCTTTTGTGGTGACGATGGTGATGGTGACAATGATGTTGCTCATGGTGGTTATGATACTGATGATGCTGATGATGATGCCCATGGCGGTGAATGATGACGTTGATGGTGATACGAATGAAGACTATGCTGATGATGTTGATGAAGAAGAAGGTGTTGCTCCTGCTGGTGACAATTATGGAGTGTCTCGATGACGATGGCGAGTACGTTGATCCTGATGCCGGTGCTGCTGCTGATGACGCTTGTGATAGGGATAAGGATGATGTTGTTGATGATGATGACGATGCTCATCATCAGCATCATCATCATCGTCATCAGCATGATCATGCTGGTGATGAAGATGATGCTGATGCGTATAATGATGTTGGTGCTGATGATGCTGATGGTGATGGCTGTGGCGTCGATGGTGGCGATGGTGATGTGATGAGGATTCGGAAGAAGAGGAAGTATCATAAGAATATGATGGCGATGTTGATGATGTTGCTGGTGATGTTGATGGATGCATGGTGATAATACGTATGATGATGCTGGTGGCGATGATGATGCCGATGGTGAGAATGGTGATGCTGATGAGGACGATCACGATTATCATGACGGTCATCATTCTGATATTGATGATGACGAGGATGATGATGATGATGATGATGATGATGATGATGTTGATGATGATGATGATGTTGATGTGGACGTTGATGCTGCTGATATGCTGGGGATGACGACGGCGACGATGTTGTTGATGATGCTGATGTTGATGGCGACGATGACGATGAGGAGGGTGATGAGGAGGCAGATGAGGAGGGAGAGGAGGCGGAGGAGGAGGACGAGGAGGGTGGAGGAGGAGGTGACGGAAAAGGAGGCCAAGGAGGAAGAGTAGGAGGAGGAGGAGGAAGGACATAATATGATGATGGGGCGTGGGGATGGAGAGGTGGGGGATCAGTTCAGGTGGTGGAGGAGGCTTTCTGAAAGTGTCGTGGGGTGTTTCGCGGGGCTTCAGGATGGAGCCCAAGGACACCTCACTTTTTTTTTATCTCGTACGAGGAGCCCTGGTGAGCCGTTTCGGGTTCTCTTGAGGATTCCTGGGGGCCTCTTCCGAGCGTCTTGGGGCCTCTTGCAGGGCTCTTGGGGCCTTTGTAGGAGCTTCTTGGCGGTCTCTAGGGTTATCGTTTGCCTATTGGCCCCTTCCATTTCCGACTCTTGAGCCCCTCCAAAGGCCGTCTGGAGCTTTCTTGGCCCTTTGGGGGTTCCTCTTGGGCCGTCTTAGGGTCTATTGGCCGTTTTGGTGGCCCCTTGGGCCGTCTTGGGGCGAGGCCCCTACAAGAGTTTATTTCATGCTGGGAGGTGCCCAGTTGGACGCAACCGTCTGAAAAGCCTCAACCGTGCCAAATCACAATTCCTGGCATCCCAACGCCGCAAATCAACGTGACTGTTGCGTCCTGACTATCCGTAGATCGTGCCAGAACAATTCCTAGGGCTGCAACGCCGCCAATCAACTGTTGCGTCCTGGCAACTCCTGGGACTCCAACCATTCGAAGGTTTGAACCTGTTGCAAACTTGTAACACTAATTTGCGCAGCCCCAGGGCGAGAGGCATATATCTAAAACGGGCCGCCTTCCAGCTTTGAGACTGTTGCAGGTTCCTTGGTGAAATGCGCGGCCCGCCCTACCGACACGTCTGGGGTTGCGACCGGGATGGATTATGTTCAAGGAAACAGGATGGAGCAGGAGGAAGATGAGGAGGCATGAGGAGGAGGACACGGATGAGTTGAAGGAGGAGGAGGAGAGGGAGGAGGAAGAGGATGAGGACGACCAGTGTACACCCAAGAGTCATCAACGATTTTGGGATACACCCTCCTTCCAAACTCCTTTTTCATAGGCCCCTCCATGGGTTCATTTCCATTGAGGGAGTTGCCCCGTTGGGAGACATCCGCGTGAAAATCGTGCGAAAATCTTGAAGCGTGCCAAAGCACCACGTTCAGAACGTCAACGCCACGAGGTAGACTGACTGTCACATCTTGGCGATCCTGAATCGTGCCAGCACACCATTTCTTGGACTTCGACGCAGCGAATCAACGAACGTGTTGTGCCCTGGCAATCCTCAGTCGTTCCAAATTACCGTTGTTGGTACACTAGCCATGAATCGCTGAAATCTTGTACTTTGATAGAATGTGCGCGGCGCTACGGCGAGAGCCACATTTTGGAAAGGAGGGAAGGAGCCACCCTAAGCCCGTGAAGCTGTGGCACATATTTAAAACGAACGTGCGCGGCGCTAAGGCGAGAGCCGCACATTGAACACGAGCCGCCCTAAACTCGTTGAACTCCTGCAGATGTTTAAAATGAATGCGCGCGGCGCGAAGGCGAGAGCCACATGTTTTAAAAGTACCGCCCTCAATCCGTGAAATGATGGCAAAGTTTTGAGACGAGTGTGCGCGGCGCTAAGGCGAGAGCCACACGTTGAAAGCATCCGCCTTCCACTTGCGAAGCTGTTGCCAATGTTTAAGCTCTGGGATCGCAAATGGTGAGGACCACTCAGGCGAACCGCCCAGCCCGCCCTTTCGACCGGCATCGGGCTGCGACAGGGAGGAGTTGCATATAAGGGAAAGAAATGTCGGCTCTACCTGGTCTGAGGGAGTCGTGCGTCGCCGTCCCTCTTCCACCTTTGACTTTTTCGAAATAGAGCGTCGAGTTGACGGCCTCGTCTTTTCCGCGTGCTCTGCCGTGTCGACTTCTCGTCTGGGGACGGATCGGAAAAGGAGGCAGGGATTGATGGGGGGAGGAGCAGGGAGAGGCTGAGTTTTCTGTGGGGGCTATGTCTCCTCCTGCTGATGATCCTGCTCCTCCGCCCCCACCTGTCCTGACCATGCCTGTCCTGGGCCCAGGATCGCCGTACACGCCTTCTGGCCAAGTCACGAGGGCGCATGGCAGAGACCCTGGGCCCCCGCTCGGCCTTGCCAGGATCGGTGCATGTGCATGGTGGGCGCCCTCACCGCCTCGCTCGCTCGCAACTGAAGGCCGACGCGCTCGCAGCCTATCCCAGCAGTGAGCCTCACCCCTGGATGGCCCTCGAGGCCCACATGCGCACCCCCCACCGATGGCGGACCCCACAGGCCCCGAACGGGGGGAGGGGGCAGCTCTGGAGCCCAAAGGCTCCCCCTCCTCGTCCTCCGCCTCTGCCCCCCCCCCCGCCCCAGGGCGGAGCTCGGCAGACTGGACCACCCGAGGTCCCCGACCGACCGACCCACCCTCCGCCTCACCGCTCTCTGGCCCCCGCCCGCCGGGTGCCCGGCAGAGCCGGCGGCGGGCAGGCCACGCCGTACGCCCGCTGGGCGTCCGTGGTCTCGTACCCGGAGGAGGCCCGGCCCGCCGCGGGGGGCACGGCTTGGCCTCCGCTGCGGCCCTCTGCCGAGGGGGCAGGGAGAGGGGGGGGGGAGTGGAGGGGGGGAGGGGAGACGAGGCGGGGAAATGGAGGGGAGGGAGGGGGGCAGGCAAGCTAGGTGCGCTCGCGTCATATCTGACGTCCTACCCCTCCCTCCCATCCCTTACCATGGCGCTTATTTTCTCTATCCGCGGACGCGTGTCGTAGCAGACCTGTGGCTCCGCGCGCGCGTGCGTAGTGGGTGGTGGTGCACGTGCGTGCGTGCGTGCGTGCGTGCGTGTGTGCGTGGTGGTGCTGGTGCTGGTGCTGGTGCTGGTGCTGGTGCTGGTGCTGGTGCTGGTGCTGGTGCTGGTGCTGGTGCTGGTGCTGGTGCTGGTGCTGGTGTTGGTGCTGGTGGTGGTTGTGGTGGTGATGGTGGTGGTGGTGGTGGTGGTGGTGGTGGTGGTGGTGGTGGTGGTGCGGCGCGGTGGTGGCGGGCGGATGGGCGCGCGAGAAAGAGGCCCGCGCTGGGGCGAGAACGCCATCCTGAACGACTGAGGCCAAACACCGATCCGAAAATGAGGCCCACGCTGCAGCGGGAGCACGATTCGGAACTATTCGGGAGCAGAAATGAGACCGGCGCTTCAGCGAGAGCATCATTTTGAAAAAAACGCAGGCGAAAACCCGTTTCCCGGGAATCCTGTGTGTAAAAAAACAGTACGCGGGGGGCGTTCGGCCCGAAAATGACGCCGGCGCCTCAGCGAGAGTCGTTTCCCGGGATCTCCCGGGAATCATGTGTGTAAAAAAACAGTACGCGGAGGGTGCGCGGCCATCACCCGGACGCCATCAGGGGAAGAGGGAGAGTATTTTCAGATTGAGTAATTGTGGAGGGGGAGAGAGGGATTGAGGCTGAGGGGAGGGGGGGGTGCAGAGACGGAGGGAGGGTGGTGGGGGAAAAGGGGGGGGAGGGAGGTGGAGAGAGGGATTGAGGGAGGGGGAGGGGAAGCTGGAAATGAGGCTGGGTTGGCGATGAGGGAGGGCAGGAGCGGGCAGGAAGGGGAGGGAGGTGCGGGGGGGGGTAGGGAGTGAGGGGGGAAGGGAAGGGAAGGGTTGGGTAAGGGAGGGGCAGGGGGGAAGGGATGGAAGAGAGGGATACACGGGTGAGGGGCGTTTTTTTCCCCTGGACTCGTGCGCGGTCCCTGCGGCTGCTGATCCACGACCGCCAGCTTCACCCAGATGTGAAGATCCGGCAGGTGGCGCGGGCACCGCACCCGTGGCCAACGGAAGGGGAGACGTGGCGTAGGCAACGGCCTCACCACGCAACTCGAGACGACGGGGTTGTAAAGGCAGAATCATCACGGACTCGAGCGTGCTCGAACGGAATATTGCACGGGAGACCCATGCCAAGAAACACCTTGCTTGCCTCCAGGGTTCCCTGGGTTTCTTGGCTTTCGATAGTTTGGCGATGGAAAGCTTGACGTCCCCGCACCAAAACTCAATGGACGTCTTGGGGTCTCAGGGTTTTGTTTCTTGTGGAAGGTTTCTCGTGGACTGGCCTCCATTGTAATCACGGACTCGGACGTGTTCGAACGGAACACTATGTCTGTCGAGCCTGGAACGGAGGCCACCCGAGGAGGTTGTTCACGTCCTCCGTGACCTGGGTTGGCCCCGAGAAGCTTCGTCGGGGGGATTCCAGTTTAACCCTTTTCAAGAAGAGGCTGGATTGGCTTTGAGCTTTGTCGAGGCATCGCCTACTCTCCAGGAAAGGCACCAACCCGCGCATTGCAGCAGGGTGGCTGTGTTAGGATTACGGCGACCCGCTTCAGGGCAGATTTTCCTGGCACAAGGGCGAGAGGGAATCCAAAGCCCTGGACGACACCATCGTCCGGCGGGGCACTCCCTTGGGTGCGGCCGAGCTGACCGAAAGGTGCGGCGATCGTCCTTACACGTGACGTCGGCTCGGTTGGGGACGTTGTCTTTTCAGTAGGAATATTCACCGTGCGTCCAGGAGGCACGCACCCGCGTGCCCTCGGCATGCGAGTTAATCGGCACTTGGAAGCTATGTGCGATGTCTCTTGCCCGCCAGGCGACCCTGCCTTCCTTGCGAATTGACAAACTGTTGTCCACCTTCCGGGGTGCACGCCGTCCGCAGCAGAGCCCCTGGGTGGCCGTGACGTCCGTCAGCGCTTCGGTGACGAATGCCTCTGAGGGGCGTCAGGGGGCTGTCGAATTGGTGGCCAGTAGTGCAGGGAAACGATTTAAAAAAATCGCCCCCCCCCCCGCCCCCCCCCCCCGGACCCCCCAAAATGATTGAGTGGGGCGGACTAATAGAATTCAGCCGCCAGAAACTGTTTTTTTTATCGTCCGCCCCCCGGCGTTTGCTGCTGCCCCTTTGGGGGAACTGATTTTCTATTCGTCCTCCTTCGCTCGCTTGATCACCCGCGGCCGCGGGGGGAGGATTGCGGAGGGGGGCGGGGCAACTACGGAGTAGTTGAGGGAAGGGGTTTTTGAAGAGGCGCTTGATTACCCTCGTCCTTGCGGACGGCCGCCGGTCGTCCTTGCGGACGGCCGCGGCGATGGGGAGGTGGGGGATGAGGAGGAGGAGGAGGAGGAGGAAGAGGAGGAGGGGGAGGACAAGCTAGGTGCGCTCGCGTCATATATGACAGCCGACCCCTCCCTCCCATCCCTTACCATGGCGTAGATCCCCTCTCGACTCGCACAGTCGGATGTCGAGCAGGGCAATGATCCCGAAAGGGTACAGTACGCGATGCATTGTATAGCACGGCGTGTCATGACGTTGAAGAGCACCGCGAAGCGTAATATGTCACAGCATGGCGTGGCGCGGCGCAGTGAAGAATTGCAGCACAAATCGTTGCAACGCAAAGCATGGCGTCGCACAGCGGCCCCGAACATAACATTGCATATCATGGCGTTGAAGATCAAAGCGTAGCATGGCAGAGCACGACGTGGCACGTAAGCACTCCTCCTCCTCCTCCTTCTCCTCCTCCTCCTCCCCCTCCTCCTCCTCCTCCTCCTCCTCCTTTTCCTCTTCCTCCTCTTAATTATTCTTCCTCCTCCTCAATTGCGAGGACGTCCGAGCGGGAACCGCCGCGTGGCTCATTGTCTCCATATCCTGCCTGCGCTCTCCTTGCCACACGCGCATTCAGCGTCTCCCTGGGTGCCGCCACGAGGAACGAGGGGCGCATCGAACGAGCAAGGGCGCCTGGCCCCTTACGACGCTTCCTTCAGGCTCAGATCGCGAGGAGGGAGGGGCGGGCGAGGGTTTTTTGGAGGAGGACGACGACGACGACGAGGAGGAGGAGGCGGATGAGGAGGAGGAGGACGAGCTCGCCCTGAAAAATCCCCCCGTCCACCCCCCTGGCCCCCGCGCCCTGGATCGCCACCCCGTGCCCCCCCCCTTTCTGGCCTCCCAGGCAACCCGGAATTGTCAGCCCCCCGTCTGCTTGCCCTGCCCCCCGCTATTGCGGGGGCGAGGAGGCCCGCGAAACAATGTTTTGAATCGTCCGCCCCCGATTTTTTGCTTTTTATAAATATGAAAAATCGCTTCCCTTCATTATCATTATACGTCTCTTTCCTGCCGCGTGTAGCTGACGCATATTATTGAATATATGGACGTGTTTTTCGATCTTCACCAAATACGTTTATTCTTATGGGTTCTCATTCCTGTTCCACAAAACTAAACTGGCGTGGCGGTCTGGCGGCTGCGTTGTCGCCGTCGCCGTCCCGTCGCCGCCTCATCGCCGCTCGTCGTTTGGGCCGGCGTGGGGGTCTGGCGGCTATGTTGTTTGTCGCCGTCGCCGCCTCGTCGCAGCCCGTCGTCTGGGCTGGCGTGGCGGTCTGGCGGCTATGTTGTCGCCGTCGCCGCCCCATCGCCGCTTCGTCGCCGAATGCACTGCGCACCACATAGGCGTTGCTTCCCAAAAGGGAAACTGGATCTACCACCCCCGCCTCCCCGGGTTTCTCGGTTCCTCCCGGGATAGTTCGATTTAGATACGGTCCTGCCCACATACCATCCCAGGGGTAGCCGATATCGGCACCCCTTTTCATCCTTGTCAACATCTACTGTGCGCGCGCATTCGTTTCAACATGTCAGCAGGTTTCAGAATTCCTTTACACGCTTGCGTCGTCGGGCGCGTGCCAGAATTCGCCAACAACCTGATGATTCGCATGGGTTTCAAGATCGAATTGCCCGACCACATATAAGTTCATATAGCTCTGTTGTAAGAAAGTTTGCGCCGTTTTGCAAAGTCTTACGACATTCCGTGTACCTCAACCGTTTCGTAACAATCGACCAGGGGGCATTTCGCGCGCGCATGTCGACATGATTCGAACGCCTTTTGCGCGCTTGCTGTGGGGGCACGACCCCTGTTAGATAATATGATGTAGGCCACGCGCCCGCATCGGCCGCGCGTGCATGTCGAATTCTTTCCAAAGCTTCCATCTTCCGACACGTGGACAGCATCATCGTCATCGGTCTGACCACCTCATCGGCGTCGTAGTTGGCTTTGCCGCCGTCACCGTCATCATTGTCCCCACAATCGCCGATCGATTACCAACGCCGTCCGGGATGATTCGTATCGCGGGGGACCACGTCGTCCTGAATGGTTCGCCCCTGACCAACAGCGCCGACAACGGGAGACCCGTATCACGAGCCAATGAATAATGATGGTAAGGATGATGTCTTTGATGCTGATGATGACGATGATCTATCAGCATCGTGCCTCCCTTTGCCGACGCCGTCATGCTACCGCGCCTGCCCGGGCCACCGATTCGACTTGGAATGCCCGTGCGCCACCGCCGCCGCGTAGGTCGCGCGTCACCAGTTGGCCGCGGTAGCGCACGAGCTTGCGCGCGCCAGCGCAGCCGCAGCGGTGCGCCAGCCAGCGTCGAGCAGCCGCCGCAATCGTCGCCGCATGGGTTTTGGACCACGTAAGTTGTGGATTGGCGGGTGGCAGAATTGAGCGAGCAGCGCAGTTGACAATGTCGAATTTTGCAATGTGAATCGCGCACCATAGAATGCACCACATAGATTGCACACTATAGATTGCACAATGTATGTAGCACCGCATAGGCTGCACATTATAAGTTTCGCATCAGCTATTGAGCAATAGCCATGTGTATATATATATATATATAAATACGCATTGCACCACACAGACCGCACGCCCCGAAGTGCACAGCACAGATTGCACCACATAGGTTGCACCATATAGTTTGCACATCATGGGTAGCTCCACATGCATTGCACTTCGCAGGCTGCATCCCATATATTGCACACCACATTTGTTGCACAAACTATATACACACACGCTTCGTTTGAATATATGGTGTGTATGTATGTGTATACATACTGCAGCCGCAAAGCATTACAGAAAACTGTAAACCGATAAACCAATAAGCTATATCGGTTGATCGGCTTATCGACCGGTAAACCGATGTCAACACATTGGTGCACGGGTTGATAACAGAGAATCGGTAAACCAAGAAGCCCGCCCTTCTCCAATGTGTCTGGATCTCAGCACAGGTTAGTTTTAGCGGTTTACCGGCTTACCGGGTTCACGGTGCGTGTGTTGGTTTACCAGTTTATTTGATTATCGGCGCGTTTATCGGTTACCGTTTTCTCGGCTTATTTGTTGTATCGGTGCGGATTGTGGGAGTTGTCCGAGTATCAACACATGGGGATTGTTTTGAGGAGTCCTGAGGAATCTGGAGGCACCCAAGAGGATCTCGAGGAATCCTTTCTGGAGTTTTCCAGAGTCCGTACGGATGCTCAAGGAGTCCCGAAGAAACCTTCAGAAGTCCTCAGGAATATTCGGGAGTTGTCGAGGATCTCAAAGGATGCCGAGGAACCCTTATGAACCCGATGGAATCCTGTATACCACGCAAGGCATTCTGCTGAGTCTGGAAAAATACGCAAGCATCCTGAAGAATTGCTCGGGACCCTGAGGAGTCATGAAGAAACCGCTGGAACCCTGAATGATATAATTATGGTGGATCCTGTAGAAACCAGAAGAATTAATTCTGCATGAATATACCAGGATTTTGCGAACGGTTGACAAATCCTTGAGAGTTTTTCCAAATTCGATAAAAGTATCTCGAATCTTTCCGACGACCGATCCACACAAATAAATCTATCTTGGCGAAGGACCCGACCATATGCAGTTGTGGGTACCGCAATTTTGAATATTTTCTTCGGTGGAGCTCCCTATGGGGCCACGCAACGCTGCACTGGGTGGGGGGGAACGCGTGCGGGCGGTAGCACTGGGGCCGTCGGTGGAGCTCCGTATGGGGCCACGAAGCGCTGTACTGGGTATGCGAAAATGCCAAATTGGGCTTTCGGGACGCATGCGGATGGTAGCGCTGGGGGCTTCGGTGGGGCTCCCTGGGGAGCCACGAAACGTTGTACTGGGCGGGTGGAAATGCCAAATTGGGCGTGTGGGACGCATGCGGGCGATCCCACTTGGGGTTTCGGTGGAGCTCCCTATGGGACCACGAAGCGTTGCACTGGGTCGGTGAAAATGCCAAATTGGGTTTTCGGGACGCACGCAAACGGTCCCACTGTGGGTTTCGGTGGAACTCTTTATGGGGCCACGAAACGTTGTACTGGGTAGGGTGAAAATGCCATGTTGGGATTTCGGGACGCATGCGAACGGTGGCACTGAGGTTTTCGGTGGAGTTCCCTATGGGGCCACGCAGCGCTGCACTGGGTGAGTGAAAATGCCACATTAGTCTTTCGGGGCGCATGCGGACGGTGGCACTGGGGCCTTCGGTGCACTGCACCCGGTTGGTGAACATGCCAACTTTAGTTTTCGGGACGCACGCGGACGTCCCAGTGGGAGTTTCGGTGGAGTTCTTTGTGGGGCAACGAAACGTTGTACTGGGTGAGTGAAAATGCCAAATGGGCTTTTCGAGAGCACGCGGACAGTCCCAGGGGGTTTCCGTGGAGCTCCCTATGGGGCCACGAAACGCAGTAATGGGTGGATGGGAATGCCACATTCGGCTTTCGGGGCGCATGCGGACGGTGGCACTGGGGCCTTCGGTGGAGCTCCCTTTGGAGCCACGAAGCGCTGTACTGGGTGAATCAACATGCTGCTAAATTTGGTTTTCGGGACGCACGCGGACGCTCCCACTGCGGGCTTCGGTGGAGCTCCCTATGGGGCCACGAAACATTGCATTGGGTAGGTTGAAATGCCACATTGGGTTTTCGGGGCGCATGCGGACGGTGGTACTGGGGCCTTCGGTGGAGCTCCTTGTGCGGCCACGGAGCGCTGCACTGGGTGGGTGAAAATGTCAAATTGGGTTTTCGAGACGCATGCGGACGGTCCTACTGGGGGCCTCGGTGGAGTTACCTATGGGGCCACGAAGCGCTGTATTGGGTGGGTGCAAGCGCCACATTGGGTTTCCGGGACGCGTGCGGACGGTGGCATTGGGGCTTTCGGCGGAGCTGCCTATGGGACCACGAGACGTGTGAGGGGTGGGCCAAATTGGGTTTACGAAACGGTGTACTGGGTGGGTGAATCGCAGGGAGGAGGGAGGAGGGGGAGGGAGGAGGGAGGAACGAGGAGGAACGCGGGGACCGTCTCTTCAAAGCGAGGACCCAACACCACATGATGGTTAGGAAAAAAGAGCGCATGCCAGTGCTAGCGAAAACCAGTCCCATTCCTATTTCTGTCTGCCTACTGAGAGAATGATGTGGCCCCCGGCTTACTGTGTTACCGATGCGAAGTTGTAGCAATGGTCCGATTGGAAATTTTCTCTGTATTATGTCTGAGAATTCTTGAGGAATCGTTTGGTACCTAGAGGAATCGCAAGGAATATCTCGACATCCGTTGGATTCCGTAGGAACGCGCAGAGAATGTGGAAAACGCTTTCTGACATGTTTTTCTTTTGAAATCTTTCGGGGTGGAAGAGCGGGCACATTTCCCATCAATTAAAAGGTGGGGCCCAGTTTGAAACTAAAAGGGCGGGGGGAGGTCCGAAGCTACCCCCCCTCGCTTCCTTCTGTGAGCATTTCCGGTTTGGGGGGGCCATAGCGAAAGGGGGGTGCTTCCAAGCTACCCCCGGATCTCCTTCTTTCCGAACGCCCAAAGCCAGCTCGGGCTCCCTTTTGAAATGGGGGGAGGGGGGGGGCTGCGGAAGCTATCCCCTGATTTTCGTTTGGATCTTGCCGCGGTGGAGTCCCTGGCCGTCCTCTTCTCGACGGGGCCCCGGGTAAGCCCGGGCTCCCCCCTCGAAAGGGGCGGGGGGGCCGAAGCTAACCTCCCCCCGAACCCTCATGTTGTTAGTTCTTCCCGTGGGAGGGCCCTGGCTGCAGGGGGGACGCCGAAGATCCTTTTCTTTTTGGGCCTTCGGCGTCCCGTTGGTTTTCGGCGCAGTCTTGGTTTTAGGCGTCTGTTTGGTTTTCAGCGCCCTTTGGTTGTTGGTGCCCCTTTGGTTTTCGGCGCTGCTCCGGTTGTCGGCGCTCCTGTGTTTTTTGGCGCTCCTCTGTTCTTCGGCGCCCTTTTTGGTGTCCGACGCACCCTTTCTGGTTTTGGGCGCAGCGTTGGTTCTCGGCGCCCTCGTGGGTTGCGGCGCCCCTTTTATTTCCCGCGCATATGTTGGCGGTGGTTCCCATCCTTCGGGGGCCAGATCGCGAGCTCCAACTCGGATCTGGTACTTATGGTTTGACAGCGCCTGCACAGTATCCGACTTGTTATCCGACTTGTTCCTGCGGCTTGTTCTTGTGCTTTTTGGAGCATTGGTCGGTCCTGCTGACCCAAGGCAAGAAGCGTTTCTGGATCGTCCCCGATGTCGGACGCGTTTCCGCGTGGTAGTCCCGAGGCGTGTAGTTCGCGAGCCACTGGTCGCCTCAGAAAGTACGCCCCACGCCCCACGCCCAGGCCAATGGGTGTGACGTTCCTGTGCCGTGTGCGTGCCAGCACGGCGGGGGCGATGATTGCGGTGAGGTGCCTCTTGGTACTCCAGATTTCGTACTAAAGGGAGGGGGATCTCATTTCGGGGGGGGTCTCTTCCAGGCTATCTTGGAGGGCCTGGGAGGTCTGGGGACGAGGTTTGGAGTATCCAGGTGGATGATGACCCGTCCTCCTGCCCCCGCATGTGCGAGCTTGTGCTCGATGATGCCATGTGGGGAAGGGCACAGGCGCCAACTCCACTCCTCGCTGGTCGGCGGATCGGCGGATGTCGGCCTGACGCCCTCTTGCGCCGTCGTGGCCTTCTCTTGCCCCCCCCCCCCGTTCCCTCCAGCCCTTCCCTCCGGCCCTCCCCATCCTCGTCCTCTCTCCCTCGCCCCCCCCCCTCCAGCACCCGCTCCACCCCTCCAGCCCCTCCCTCCGTCCTCGTCCTCCCTCGAAGCCTTCCCTCCGGCCCTCCGGCCTCCAGTGGCCTCCAGCTCCCCGGCCTCCCCCGCTCTCCGGGCCCGCTCGCGCGCCGCGGCGGGCCCTGCGGCGGCAGGGGGGCCGCCCCGTGGCCGCCCCCCCCCCGCCCCCCGAGCGGCAGGCGGAGCTCGAGCTCCGCGCGGCCGCCGAGGTGGTGCTCCAGCAGGCCGCGGGGGGCGGGCGGGCTCGTCTCGCCCCCCCCCCCCCCGTTCGATTCCGATTCGATTTCGGTGGCCCCCGCCTCCGATTCGGCCTCGGGCTCGGAGTCCGAGGAGGGGTCCGATCTTTCAGCGGAGGCACGCTTGTCGCTCCGCCTTGTCGGCTCGGTTCTGGGCCCTCCTGGGGGCGGGCGGGGCCCCGGCGGGGAGAAGCGGGCGCTCGCGGCGGGCGAGCGGAGGAGGCCGCGAGGAGGAGCAGCGCGCGGACATCCGAGGCACCCCTGCGGGGCCGAGGCGGGTTGTCGTCTCGGCGCGGGGGTGCCTCTTCCACGGGGGTTGGCCACGCACAGAGGAAGGTAGCGATAGGTCGGGCGTGTCCTCCTATCGGCGGATTTTTGACGAAACCTAAGAGTACACCACACATGTTAAAGCATAATGCACAAGGTATTATGAACCCCAAAAGTTCCCAGACTAGTGTTTTACCATTGTGAAATATTCCTCCTGTAGAGGGACACGCCCGACTTAGGTTAGTGTGAGGGGGGACGGCTTCTTAGAAGCACCCCTGCTTCTTGGAAGGCGCGATCCTCTTCTACAGATGCATGGACGACGCTTTCTAAGACGCAGCCTTCGTCTAAGGATGTAAGCTAATATCTCAAGTGGTACCCGAGTGGTGTCACTTGGATCATATCGACTCTAGCGGGCGTCGATCCATTGTGCTTGGATTGTGAGTCAGAGGCTCTCTTGGGGGCCTCATGAGGCGCCTTCCTATTGGATGACTCTTGCGAGCCTCTTGAAGCCTCTCGGGGGCCTCTCAGGAGCCTTTTGGAGGCCTCTTTAGAGTTGTGTTGAAGCCTTTGGGGGCCTTCTGGGGCCCCTTGGAGGGCCTCTTGTGGGCTTCGTGGCGGTCTTTAAGGCTTTCTTGGCTCCAGGGAACCTTCGCCTTCCCGCTCCGAGGATTCTCTTGGGGCCTTTTTAGAGCCCTCTCATGCCATCTTGAGCGCCTCGTGGGCCGTCTGGGAGCCCTCTGGGGGGCCTCTCGTGACATCTTGGGGCAATAGGACCTTTTGGGCCGTTCTGGACCGTCTGAAGTCGGGGGGGCGCTTCGGGCTCTCTGGGGGCATCTTGGGGGTCTCTTGGGCCGTCTGGAGTTCACTTTGTGCGTCTGCGAGCGCTCTTGGGCCGACTCAGAGGCCTGTTGGAACGTCTTGGAGGGCTACTGGGGCCCTCTTGGACCGTCTTGAGGGCCTCTTGGGCCCTCTTGGCCCGCCTTGGGGCCCTCTTGGCTCCGAAAAAGACTTGCGAGAAGCTGCCCGGACCCCCGGGGGGCACGCGAGAAGCCCAAGAAGATTTGGGAATTTGGGTTCTGGCCCCTTCAACACTTTTCAGGAGTGCTTATGGGATTAGGCACAGGACCTGAGGGCACGCCCACTCAGTGCCCAGCGGCACGGTGGCGTGTGTGTGTGTGTGTACATACATATGTGTACAGACACATGTGACCATATGGTTGCGTAAACATATGGATTGAGAGAGAGAGTTGAGTATACTTATTCCATGTGAACTATGAACATGTTTTTTACATGCGTACACATACATATATTTAGATCCAGCTATGCCTACATATACATATATACACACCTATGCGTGTGTATCTATAGTGTGCTCATACGCATGTGTAGAGAGAGGCAAAAGGGGGGAGGACGAGAGGTAGAGATAGAGAGCGAGAGGTGGAACGAGAGAGAGCGAGAGAGAGAGAGAAAGAGAGACATCGACACATGCAGACTAGCATCGGCCTTGCAATATGTGCGGCGCACGCGCTTCTCCTCATGGGCACGTGCGGTGCCAAATCTTGCGGCAACGGAGAGAGAGAAAGAGAGAGAGAGAGAGAAAGACAAAAAAGGAAGGGACAACACACTCTAGGCTGATAAGGAGACAGTGTGGCAGAAGCGACAGAGGCGAATGTGTACACGGACACGCAAGAAATAACAGAAAGGGAGAGGCGGTGATGGGCGAGCGGGAGGCAACAGGCGAAAAGAGGCAGGGCGTGAGGGAGAGGGATATCGAGAAAAGAGAGAAGTAGAGAGAGAGGGAGAGCGGGAATGACAGAGACAGAGAGAAAGAGTGAGAGAGGCACAGATTGAGAGAGGGATAGGGACGCATCCACTGACGTATACATAGACATACACATATATACACATATATAGACATTATATAGACATACATAGACTAATGTGTGTGCAGAGAGAGAAAACAACGAGCGAGAGAGATATACAAACATATATATATATATAACAGAGCAAGCAAGAGAGAAAAGAGAGAGAGAGCGAGCGAACGAGAGACACATACAAATATACGTGCATACTTTTGCATATACACACGCATTGACCTACAAGCATTCGATCTGAGCCCAACAGGCATGGACAGACAAACGGAGACGGATGGAAGAGGAGGACGAGCAGGGGTGGAGGAAGAGCACGTGGAGGACTCAAGACACTGAGATGGTGGTGCTGTTGCGGAGGGGATGCCTGTGAGAGAACCTTGCTGAGTCTGCCGCAGAGAGAGGACGACGGTATATAGAGACGCGGAGGAGCGCGGACAGGGGAGGTCGCTGAGGCTGCTCTGGCCCAGCGAGTCGGAGCCAGCGTTGGCGAGGGCTGCTCCTGCAGCTCGATGGGTAGGTCCGGCGCCCTCTTTGAAGAGAGTGGAGAAGCACGAGGATCGGCCGACCAGCCGCCGATGACGTTCAAAGGGTCGATCCTGGAGGCTCCCCCTTCGATCTTTGATGCTGGTGGTTGGCACGGGGAGGGGAGGAGAGGAAACGTGAGGAGGAGTGAGGATGATGTCGGAGGAGGGGTGAGGATGATGCCAGAGGAGGAGAGAGGGTGGGAGGGAGGGAGGGAGGGAGGAGGAGGAGGAGGAGGAGGAACACGGGCAGTCGCAGCAGGAATAATGGAGAAGGAGGGGGATGAGGAGGAAGAGGAGGAGGAGGAGAAGGAGGAGGAAGAGAAGGGGGAGGAGGAGGAGGGGGAGGAGGAAGAGCAGGACGAGGGAGAGGAGGCACGAGGAGTATCACGAGGAGTCGCAGAACCAGGGACGATGATGGTGATTGGGATGGTATGGTGCTGCTGACCAGGAGCAGGGGAAGGAGGGAGGACCAGGATGAGGATCAGACGCATCAGTAAGAGGAGTGAGCAGATTGGCGGGGATATGATGGCACGGCGAAAAGGCAGGAGTGAGTGAGAGAGCGAGCGAGTGTGTGACTGAATGGGTGAGTGAGCGAAGGATGCAGGGGGAATAGGCGGAAGCGAGCCAGGGAAGGGTAACTGAAGGGGTTGATGGGGCAGAGGGGGATGGGAGGGGGTCGGAGGGGGACGGGAGGCGGGAAGGCAGGAGGGAGGGGGAGGCGGGAGGGAGGCGGAGGGGGAGGGGGGGAGGGGGAGGCGGGGAGGGGGAGGCGGGGGGAGGGGGAGGGTAAGCTGCCGCCGTCTCCCGTCGTGTCTGTTGCTGGTTCATCCGGCGCCCTCTTCCTCCGCGTCCCTTTGCGCGGCCTCTTCGAGGCGGCAGCCGTGCATCTTTGGCTCTTCACCCGAGTGGGCGCGATGAGCAGCTGGCTTACGCGGTCGGAGGAGAGCGGGCCCGAGGGGCAGGATGCCGGTCTCGCTGCGGGCGCGCCCAGGTTGCCCCTCACCCTTGGCCGGCTTCCCTTCCCTGCACCGTTTCCCCCCTCCGCCCTCCACTCCTCCTCCTCTCCCTCCCCCTCCCCCTCCTCCTCCTCCTCCCTCCTCCTCCTCCTCCTCCTCCTCCTCCTCCTCCTCCCTCCTCCTCCTCCTCCTCCTCCTCTCCTCCTCCTCCTCCTCCTCCTCCTCCTTCTCCTCCTCCTCCTCCTCCTCCTCCTCCTCCCCCTCCTCCTCCTCCCCCTTCTCCTCCTCCTCTCCCTCCTCCCCCTCCCCTCCTCCTCCTCCTCCTCCTCCTCCCCTCCTCCTCCTCCTCTCCTCCTCCTCCTGCTCCTCCTCCTCCTCCTCCTCCTCCTCCTCCTTCTCCTCCTCCTCCTCCTCCTCCTCCTCCTCCTCCTCTCCCTCCTCTTTCCCTCCGCCATGGCCCAAATTGCCTTCGCTGTTGTGTCCGCGCATTGGCTGGCTGGCGCAGAGACTGCCGAGCCTGAGCGACGGGTGCACGAGGTTCCTTCTGCGGGTGCGTTTGCGAAACGTCTTCGCGTGCCGGGGCGGTCATTATGGGGCTGGATGTTCTGCCCTCTATTCTTCTGGCACTTCTCGAGTCCAGGAGTGGCGTGCAGTTCCTGATCGGCACGCGGCTCTCGCCGCAAGGGAAGACCCATGGGGCACTCGCCTTCAAAGGGGGGCGCTTGTTCCGCAGTGCGGAGGAAGGAATGCGCGAATGGACTTATGAGAAGGAGGAGAAGGAGGAGAAGAAGGAGGAGCAGGAGGAGGATGAGGGGGCAGGGGAGAAGGAGGAGGGGAGGGTGCGCTGCAGTGGGTCCTGGGCTGCGATGCCCGATCCGCCCGAGGATCTCGTGCTTCCGTCGGGCCTCCTGTCTTCTTCCCCCCCGAGCGGCCCCCCGCCTGGCACCTTCCTTCACCTCCTCCTCCTCCTCCGCCTCCTCCTCCGCATCCGCCTCCGCCTTCGCCTTCGCCTCCGCCTTCTCCTCCTCGCCGAGCGGCACTTCTCCTTCTTGAGGGTCGGGTCTGGATGTGGGGCGACGCCTTGGCAGGGCTCGTTTCGATTTCTCCGATTCGATTCGATCTCGATGGCTTCCGATTCCGTTTCGACCCGGGATTCCGATGTAGGTTCCGATTTCTTATTGGACGCATACTAGCCTTCCGAGTTCCGCCGATTCGATTTTTCCCGATTCGGCTGCCGATTTCCGCCGATTCGATGTTTCCCGACTCGGCTGCCGCCGATTTCCGCCGATCCGATTCATTTCGATAGCCGATCCGACTTATCGATTCAATTTCGGGCTCTCCTGCCTTGGGGGGGGGACCGCTCTCATGGGCCGTCCCGGCCTACGATCTTGTTGCACATCCCCATGGACCCCATCCATGAATCTTCTGTTGCTTCGGGAGCCTCTGCCAGAAGCTCGCCGAGGCATCGACCGTGGCGAACTCGTGGCCTTCCAAGAAGCCTCTCCTGCCGCGGCGGCCCACGACGTATGGCTCATTACCGACGGTGCGTTCGCGCACCCGCTCACAAGCGAGGAGGAGGAGGAGGAGGAGGAGGAGGAGGAGGAGGAGGAGGAGGCGCGCTCGTGCAGCGTGGATGCTTCAAATGGCTCGTTCTCTTCCGCGCCGGAAGAGCCCCGCGCGCACGGAGAGCTCCGTGGGGACGAGCGGGCGCCGCCTCGTGCGGCTGCCCGCGCTGTCCCGCGCGCGCCACGAGCGGCGCGCCGCGCGCCGGGGGGGGGGGGGCCACGGCAGCAGCGCGCCCCCCGCAAGAGGCGCAGGCCGGCGGCCGTGCCGGCGCCTGCGCGGGGCAGGCGTGCCGAGGCTCGGGCGATCGCAGGCATGGATCAAGGGGGCGTGGATCGGTGGCCGTGTTTGCAGGGGCCCCAGGACACACACACACACAAATAAATCGTCACAAATGAAAATATTCCCAATATTTTCCCATACTTTCTGGGTTTCTGTCTTCCCCCCCACTTCCCACATTTTCCCATATGTTCTGGGGCGTAATAAAAGGGAGGGGGTCACAACCCTCCTAGACCAGAAGTTTTTAGACCCCCCCAGACCATGCATGAAAGGGCGGCACTCTGCCCAGACCCCCCCGAGCCCTTCAAGACAGCTCAAATCAGGCCCCCCCGCCGAATGTGACCCCCCCTACTTTATTATGGAATCCGGAGTATTCATTGTTTGGCCGATCGGCGCGGGCCATCGCCCCCCCCCGAGTGGATCTTTGCTGTTTTGGGGGCGCCTGCTTCCTGCAGGTGGGGTCCCCCCTCCTAGGGCGCACGGCTCCGGGCAGTCGCACGAAGCAGAAGTCCAGAGCCAGACCCTCACCCCCCCCTCTTCGCCCAATGTCGCAACGCCGAACAAAAAAACCCTCACATACAGTCGGGGCCCTGAGGAAGGAACCCTTTTCGTTGGGGAGGGGCTCGGTGTTCCTTAGTTGTTTTGCAGTTCGCCTCAGGTTTTGCCTATGTTTTCAATCGGAAATCGAAGGTTAACTCATGGAAATCAGGGGCCTCGTTCCTTATGTTGGGTTCCTTAGGTCAAGCCCCCGACTGTAGCGACGGGTCCCGCTGTTTTGGGAAGTCGGGAAATTTCCGCCGCTAGACTCGAAACGGCACCGGCCGCACTTTGGGGGAGGGCACCTCCGCCGATCAACGGACCTGGCGGCCGCGCGCCACATCCATAGATCGCTGAGCGTAAGTCGGGCCTGTCCCTCTACACGAGGAAGATTCAAACAATAAGCAAGAAAATAGTTTGGGGACGATTTTTGGATCATTTTTGCGTATGTTTGAATATTCTTCTTGGGGTACTTTGAACTTTTCGCCCAAAGCCCCCCCTCTGTGGGGGGACACGCCCGACCTAACGCTGCGCCAGGCCTGCACTGCGCGCCCCCGCGAGACAGGGAGGCAGGGGCCAGCGTGGCCGTGCACTGGCGCCTGCGTCTGCTGCCCGCCGAGACGGGTCTCCCCACCCCTCGCGCAGGCCCCGGGCGGCGGTCGGAGCCACTCAGGGGCAACGATCGGGGGGGGGGAGAGGCATAGAAGGGGATGCCTCGACCCTCAATCGCCCATTGATCGCCGAGAGGAGCCCGATAGCCCCAGCCTTCCAAGGAAGGTGCGGATTCATTATCGGAGGCCTATCGCCGATCCATCGGCGATGTGTCGCCGATTCCAGGTCGATGCTTCCCCCCCTATGCCCATCCCCCCCTATCGTTGCTCCTCAGCCATCGGGGGCCGAAGCCAGAGACCGCCAAGCGTTTTCCACGACTCGCGAAGTGCCGCTCGCAAACGTCCGACAAGAAAGCACGTCATGTCTTCGTCTATGCAATGGATTGTCGTCGCGGATTCTGGCCACCCCCTTTGGGGGCCCGCGAGGGCCCCTTGTGGGGCCAAAGGGCCCCTTCCGATCACCAAACGCGTTCCACTACGCCCGAGGAGGAAAAGGTACCCATACCTCTACCGTTTCCTCGTTTTCCCGTTTTTGGGCCTCCTCGGAGGCCCTCGTCGCCACCGCTGGATTCGCCTCGCAATTCTGGTCAGATCGCACCCCGGGAGGGGTCCAGGGGGTAGCGGTATCGGTATCTTTTGGTGCCCCCAATGTCTTCCTCTACGCCATGGATCGTGCATCCCTGGCGGCGGATCCAAGCCGTTTGCGAGCAGTTACTTCCCTCGAGTAGTGAAACGCGCTTGTCTAAGAGAGCGACCCGCACCCGCCGCACGGCCGCCCTCGCGAGAACTCGCCCAGGGTGGCCCGCACCCGTCGCACGGCCAAAGCCCAGCGAATTCGGCCCTCCCCCCGGGCTGCCGCCGCCCGCCCCCCCTGCGGGCCCTGAGCGGGAAGCACTGGGTCCTGGCCCGTGGCTCGCTGTGGCAGCCTCGGGCCCATCGATTTCGGACGCCACAGTACGCCCCGTCGCTCCTGCGGTCCCCCACTCTTTGTGGATGGATCTCTCCAGCTCTTCGCCGCCTCTGGCGGTGCGCGCTGCGAGCAGGAACGCCGCAGAGCCACAGGAAAGCGCGGCGTTGGCAGCGTAGCTCCGCACACGTGACACACGTCAACGAGCAAGAACACAGCAAAGCC